ACACATTTTGCATAATAAATTTCAGAGGCACAAAAACTCTAGCTATCCTAGTGGTTTTTTGTACTCTTGCTCTCATCTGTGCTTTTTCAGCTGCAAGGAAGGGAAGCTGCCTCCTGCTATGAGCTCCCATCTTTAAATGCTCCTGGCATGGGTAACTTGCTGGATATAATCACTGAGCTTGTCTTTGCAAATTAAAACATGAAGGCCTGTGCATCTTTATTGCCTTTTTGTCCATCTCAGCTTTTCTATTCTTCCTCCATTACAGCACCAGCAGGAGCTTCCCACAACTTCCCTGCTTTACAGAGACCTCTTACAAAAGGGTTCTCACAGAGTATGATCCTTTCATATTCAGAGTCTCCATCTTGATATTTTCTTGCATAATGAGTGTTCACATAACTCCTTTCCATATGATAACCTATCAGTTTTTTTACTATGTTTTACTACAAAGTAAATCTTTCTACCAGATCACCTACCATATAGTTGATAGGGATGAGACGCATAAAGGCATGTGGGCACCTAACTACCACTTTAAATGTCTGAGTTTAAAATTTAGGTTATAAAACCTTTTGCTCAGCTTACCTAAATCTGGATGTACTTAAAACACTTCGGCACTTGAATTGCTCCTAGAATCCCACTTATTTGCCAGGTTCTGCTACCGGATAATACCCAACCAAGGACATACAGCTCTGCTTCAGTCTCTGTGACCTCACAGTTCACAAGGTCCTTACACAGTTGTTGACTGTGGATACTAATGAGTATTATCCTTAAAACAGATCTGCTGGATTAGGCCTAGAACAAACACGTTGAGGTGGATATTTCCTGCATACAATGCACTCCTGCACTACTTGTACAGATGCTATGCTAAGCGTGCAGAGGAAAATCTCTGTTAGCTATGTGAATGGAGGAGGGACAGGACAATATTGCTGTTGCCACAAGCAATTCACATATCTTGGTCCTGGATAAGGGAAGAGCTCCTGGGGCAGGAGAATCCAGATTTGCAGCTATGGGTTCCTCCCAGGGGAATAAATAATACTTGTCTGTGGACTGTAGCAGGATTTACATACCTGGCTTAATTAAATTAGGTTTACATTTGAATTGGGGATATTTCTAGTAACTGCTGTATAGCTGCAGACAACAATAGATTAAGGATCTTAATTTTCAAGAAGGAAAAAGGAAGGAAAAAGACATTTTTGGCATATCTAGAAAATAAGCAGCACTCAGTTGAATCATAGAATCACCAAAGTTGGAAAAGACCCACAGGATCACCCAGTCCAACCATCCACCGATCGCCAAAACATCCCAACTTTCCTCACTGTATCTTCCATCCTTGACTTTTTCAATTTCTTAAATAGGGACATGACTACATCAGGTATTCCTGGTTCATGCTGGACTGATCTCAACATGTACGACAATTAATTTTTACTGGAGTGCTTCTTCATTGCTTTAAATTTCTCGTGTTTAAAATTCTCCAGTAAAACATATTAGCCGTTCCAATCTTTAACTATTAAGCTTTTAATAGAAATCCTGCTCACCAGATATCTTCTTGCAAACTCTTGCAACTCGATGGGAGATTCAAGTCAAATGAATCACACATCATTTTTTTTCTATTCGATGAAATATACAGTAGTAAAAAGAGTCTTTCGACAATGTCAGACAACTTACAGCATGGAAAACTTCAATCATCCTTTTAATTAGCAGAGCAGTAATAATCAAAGCTCTTCACAAATTAAAGAAAGCGGACAGTTAGATGAAATTAAGTAAGTCCATCATTTCTTCAGAGCAAAACAATGAAGGATACTTACAGTGTTAATTAAAAGATTCTTGAGATTTCTCTAAAATAGGGAGTAAAATGCCAACATGGAAAATAACAGTCTGCAGAAAACGTACAGTGGATTATATTACATACGGATACGAACACTGCTGTGAGTTGTTTGTAGTGAATATCCTTGTCCTTGGCAAATCAGAATGACTGACACCCATAATTTGCAATTTCCTAAACCTGAAGAGTTTTCTGATTGCAATGAAATGGTTTTACCTAATTATTTTTTCAAGTTGCAGTTTTTGATGTTTAATTTTGAAATCAATTTGAGATGTCTTGAACTATATTAATACACTGTATTATGCCTTCATTTCTTTTTGAAGCACTTTACTTTAAAAAATGCATACTTCTAATGATTTTTAAATTACTCTACTCTGCACATATCAATTTACAACAATTACAACATTTTGCATTTTTCAAAGCACTTCAATTTTAAAGAGGTTTTATGCCTTGCAAGATACTGAGGAAAGAGGCTGCTGATCCATTTTTACCCTTTGTAAAATTACCACCAATCTTGCTAGAGAGCTTAACCAAAAATAGATATGCTAAATATATACCATCTACATATAATCATTTTAGGATGAATGTTTTTGTGACTAAGAACTGCCAGTATTCTTTTCCCAATCATAATTAGGTTGCTTCAGTGGTATAAATGGATTCAGTGGAAGTATGACAAATGTCCTGGAGTAAGGAGGACGAAAACTGGCCTACTTTGGCTGAACAGAGTCTAGAGAAATGAATACAGGATGGAATGTCAGAGGCATCAGCTCTGTCACAGAATTCAGGCTATAAGTTCTAACATGAAACCTCATCACAATAAATTAATGACACGGGGCTAGATTGTCACCTGCAACACTGGCTCTGCACAGTGGCACCACTGCAGTTATGCCAGTTGATGCTAGCTAAGGATCTGCTCCCCCCAACAACTCTGCCATCTGTTTTGATGTTTTACCCCCTTAATCTCTAGGCTTCACATTATACATCTGAGAACAGAGGATGAGGTTTTCTTTCCAATTTGTTGATGCTGCACCTTCAATTTACAAGTTTCCTTTCTGCCTGTCAACAAGTAGATAGTATTCACAAGTTTGATTTTGTCTTTTCGAAACACACTGCCTGTTTGCCTCAAAGCCAAATGACTCATTACCATCAAGGAATCACAGACATTAAGTAGAAATTTGACTCTCCTGATGTACTACCAGGCTTACAACACTATCAGTGACACCTCTAATGCAGACGGATGTGACAGTGCACATGACTGTTTGGCCATCCATCATGTTGCAGAGCCTCATGAGCCTTGTGTAAGGGCATCTGGGAAGGTGAAGTGGGCCAGGAGGGGATACAGCTACAGCTCTGAGCAAAGACCTGCTGCCATTCCTCTCTACCTCTTAAATGACTGCCCTACTGCCTAGCAGAGACAGGGCAGGAAATCCTCTGTATCATGTGCTGTGATTGGCTGACACCTCTGTCTGAGCTGGCTGAGGGCTGTCACCCTGCTGGACTGATGCTCTGACTGCCCTTGGAGGTGCAGGGGCAGGTCTGTGTGCTCTGCAGGGGATTCCCAGCTCACATAGGCCAGGCATGCTGCAAATTCTGCATGAATGTGCCAGCCCTAGGACTTGTTATGTGCTTCCATAGGACGAATGAACTAGGAATAAGCTAAAAGTACATGAGGAAAGGGATAAATTAGATACAGAGGAATCAACATATTTGTTGATGGTGAGGAAAGCATCCTGTCTTGATAACACAGTGGACACTAGGGACACAGAGAAGAATTTTCCCAGCTGGTGTATGAAGGTAAGAAAAAAGTGACTTTTCTTCCAGAAATTCAATGAAGCAGCTTTGAAGGTGAGAAAAACATGAGAACTACGATCCTAGCACAGAACACAAAAGCTTCACTGCAGTTATTCATTAGCTTTTTGTTCCCTTAGTATCTAATTGCCCCATGTAGCTGACACAATGGAACCACTGGAGTTTAACATCTCTTTTCAAGCTACAGTAGTTTCAGACAAGAGCAGAATTAGTTTGCGTACTTTTTGAAGAAAAAAAAAAACTAATAAATTACTGGCAACATTCCTAATTATTTGCTTAATCAATGGAAGTCTTATTTTAGCACATAATAAAAGACATAAAAAAAATGCAAGCTGAAAGCCAGTAAAAATCAATTCTTATCAGAGCAGGTACCCTATCTAACAGAAACCACACGTGCTAATTTTGGAGTATGGAATGAGTGTGGGGTCTGTGTAACAAATACTCAAAATTATCAACACATCGATAGTTTGTGGCTGAAAAAGTTATAATGGAGTCTCAGCCTAAAAATCATAATCATGAACTTTAAATAAATGAAATTTAAACTATTCCATGTGTTCTTCTGAAGGATGATTTCTAAGAAAAATTGGTGACATGGACCACTGGTTGTATTCCACAGCATTCAGCAAATCTGTCACTTAGATCTCCTCTGTACTAGGATGCATTACTCATCATCTGAGAATCTAGTCTTCTGAGCTCCAGAGGAAAAAAAAAATGGCAGTACCTACTTTAGTAATGATATGCTCCATTACAGAGTAAAATATCTTGAGTGCTCTTGATTCAAGAAAACGAAATGTAAATGTACAAAGCACATAAAAAACCCATTTCAACTCTTAATCAAATTCAGCAGGATTAAACTCTGATAGTCTTCTAAGAAAGAAAAGAGTTTCTATTCCAGCATGAGAGAACAGATGACCATTTCTGTTTAAATATTTTTTGACAGCAATTTCCTACTTGTGAGTCACTGAATTCACACTACGATATCCTCCCAGTCTCTCTCAGGATTGTATATTTCCTCATTGCATGATCCTGATAAGCACTGAACACCTCAGGAGAGAATCCTGCTTAACTCCTGTCCAAGCTGGGAGCCACTTGCACTCTTGCAGGCCTACCATTCTCCCTGTCAGGCAGTCAGCATCCTTGCTGCAAAGGAAAAGCCATTTTTATCCTTGTTGGCACAAAACCAGTTGTTGCCAAACCCACTGGCGTATTTACCGAGAAATTGGCGTGCAGTGTCACAGCACCCCGGCTCATCTCTGTCTTATTTTTCAAAGCAATACTAGCGCAGCAACAGAAACTACTTTCCTTCACAAGCCAAACGGCAAGCATAAGCTTTTAACTGGCTTAATTGTAAAAAGACAATCAGCAAACAAACCTGTAGAGCAGTCAGAACCCGTCCACTGTGGCTCACAGCTGCAGAGCCCCACGTCCAGGAGGAAGGTGCCGTGCCCTGAGCACTGCTCCTGGCAGATGGGCAGTGATGTCTCGCAGTTCACGCCGCCCCAGCCCGCGGAGCAGTGGCACTCCCCTTGAACGCACACGCCGTGACCGGAGCACATCGGATCCAGGCAGTCCTCTGGAAAGCAGGGAATGCACAACTTAAGAGAAATAAACTTCACACCTTTACAGCGGTTTCCCAGAGACATCCAGCAATAGAGATTAACTGCAGACTGAAATGATGGTGACTAAAACACAAGAAAAAACTGCCTATGCTAACACCTGTGCAAAAGAATAAGCTAAAAAAGGGAAAAAAGTCAAGTGCCTAGACTCATGGAGAACATGGTTCTGCTCATCGCAGATACTCTTATATCTGTTGATCTAAGTCAAGGAAGTATGGATTTCAGCAGCGGAGCTGGGAAAGAACTGGAGCAATTAAATGTTATTTTTACAATTGTGCGTTGTGTTTTCATTCTGGTATTTGTGTTCTATGCTTTATTTACATTTTGGAAAAGACAGATTTATCGTTTCATACTCCTGAGGAAATCTCTCTCTACAGCTGAGAATCTGGTAGGAAAAAAAAGGTCATCCACTAGCTCTAAATTGTGACTCTCTGAATACACACTGTGAAGAAATCTCATATTCTCATAAAAAGTATGTGCTGGGCAATTGAAGATAATGAACAGATTCATAAAAGTCGTAACATATTGATGAACGATTTGCAAACAGACAAAGAGCTAAATTTGTTCTCAATTTGGATTAAACCATTCTTAGTGAAAAATTCAGGAGCTCTGTAGAAGAATTTAAATCAGCTGGTTAGTCCCACATAATCAGCATATTCTTTCATCAAGATCCAGCATTTCTTTAACAAGATAGACACGAAGCAGAACACAGCCTGCCGTCTCTGGAGGCCACAATGAGGCTACAGAACTAGAGAGGAATTCGTGGGGTGTTTGAGCATGCAAAACAATTAGCCTATTCATATTAGATCGTGCTTCATACCAACATTGTTAAAAAAGGCACTTTGGAAGTTCTTGTATGCATTTTTCAAGTATTAGCCCAAATACACTTTTAATAGTTAAATAGTACACTTAACAAACAGTATTTTGTATTACAAGAATGAAGAGATGTTCACTGTTTCAGCAGCAGAAGACTAAACATTTCTCTTTGAGATTAAGAGCATCCAGTTTACAGCATCTTTTGACCTACGAATTAAGAAGCAACGCTTTTGTATCTTTGTGCTGCTGGCCCACAATTTCAAGATCTTAAGTCAGCTTTTATTCTGTATCTTTTTTTAGCCTTCCAGGCTTGTGTGCAGTGCAGTGCAATTCTGAAAAAGAGAAATCAGTATTTCTGGACAAAGTACTTAGGTTGCTCTGAAAGTAATGCCTCCTCTTTATTTCCGTGGAAATTACAACAAAGAGTGCTATTTGATAGAGCAAATTCTCAACTACAAACACTCTTTTTCCAACACAGTCACGACCATTAGCTATGCATTCTCACCAGAGATGAACAGGAGCCTGAATGCTGCACTTGCAACAGTCTGCATCAGTGGAGATGTGCCACTGTCACCAGTGCTAAAACACACCACCCAGCCCTGACTGTGCTCACATCCACTCTTTGGAGACCAGAAATATTGGCAAGTGTTGATGAACATCAATAGGTGTCATTCTTTCTGCAGGAAGGAATTCAGTGGCATCGCTTTGGTTCATCTTCAATTCCATGTCAGATACCAGCTTGTCAGACTGCCCTTCTGCCACCTGTCACACAGCCACACAATGGAACAGGATATTGGCAGGACAGTTTAGCTTCTACTGCTGTACCACCAACATCCACCTCTGACATTGTGGGCCAACATCATAAAATAGGAGGCATTACTTTCAGAGCAAGCCTCACTCACCTTGCTAAGCACAGCACAAAAATACTCGGCAATTTTCTTTTATCCTGAAAGACAGCTCTCGATTTTGCTGATCTTTTGAAACTGAGAGCCTCCATAAGCAGGTTAAAAAGCATTATTTCTTTTAGTAATAATAACCTGACTGCACAACACTGAAGGTTGTCCATAGCTGTGAATACACAGAGCTACTGGTTTGCCCTGGATTGAACCTCTGTTACTGTCTGCTGCAGTCACAATGCAGCTGCAATATTAAACTCATATTTACATACAATATTCTAATTCCAGTCCCCGACAGAGTTACCTGCATTATTGCACCAGTTATGCAGCACAGTACAGTAAATGGAATGGTCATGTCATGCACACACTATTACAATAAAAATCCACTCCACTGTATAGTTCTGTTTTATCTACCCTCTTCCTACACGATTCCACTTTTATTTTATAATTATTTAAAAAAAATCCAAGGTTTTCATGCACTTGTTTTCAATAGCTGTCTAAGTACATTCATCTCAATTATTTTTTCAACCATTTTGTAGGACCACATCATGCCAACAAGCCAAGTAACTGTAAATGGCAGTCTCTTGTCAGCTTCAGGCTTATTCAGCATCACGGCCTCAGTGAGTATATTTGTGCATTACTTGCTTTTTCTCATCTGAGTTTTCTTGTTTTTTTTTTTCCATTCCTGAAACTACAAACAGCAGAGAATGTCAGAAATATTCTGTGGATCCTCCCTTTAAAAACCGTATCAGGTATGTCAAATCCATCAAATCCATCCTGGACATTTTTCTGATTAGAGAATTCAGGCCACAGAAGAGCTTCCTCTGTGTGCTACTCAAAAGAATTACCTAAAATCTATATAGCACGAAGCACAAAGTATGCTGGCACTAGCTTCAGGCTAACGGTACTACTGAAAAATCATCAAATCAGGGCAAGCATGAAGAACAGCTCTGCTTTCCGAGGCTATGCACAGGGGAAGAAAGTCATAGCTGATGAGCTATCTCAGAAATGCCAGCAGCCAAATAACAACTGTTTCTGTAGATGAGGGCAGAGACACATAGGTACTACAAGCAGCTGAAGTACAATTACTTCTTCTCGTAATTTCCCACTTTTTATTAGCCAAGCTTTAAAGGATGCCAGTTTAGTACCCTGAATAGAGGCTCACAGTAAAAATGACATATGACAACAGAATTACACAGCATGCTCTGCTAAACTGAACCTGTTCGCATCTCAAGATGCAAAAGAATGAAGAAAGGGAAAAGATGATTATGATCTGCTGATTACTTTGGACAAACACCAGAGCCTATTTTGTTTAGATCATCTTCTGACTGCCTTATCTCCTTAGATTTTGGCAGAAAAGAAAGAAAGAAACAAACAAGCAGAGTCTTTGACAATGCACACTAAGGGACTGAGGTTTCTGGCACAAGGAGCCTGGCAATCCCAGCTGTCCTCTCTGAAAGAAGCGTCAGGGTCTTGAGAGAAAAAAAGCAGAAACAAACATACTGGGATGGTCTCACTGCTTTCTCTCAGAAAAATGTTGTGACATTTTCCTTACTGGATTGAGAAGCCCCTTCTTGCTGAAAGGCAACAACATCCCCCCGATTCTTGCTATCAGGATTTGGAGGAAGTGAAACCACCTGAGAATTCATCAAGGACAGCATTTCAGAGGACTGCTCATGTCCCACTTACTAGGTATACTTATTAGACAATGTTAAACACTTCTCATCTTTTAGGATACAAAATGTTTTATTCTTGGAAATTGTGTGATTAACCCCCACTGACTGTCACTGAGACCTGAACGCCTTTATCTTTGAAAAATTTTCTATCTCACATTCCTCTCCCTGAGACTTTAAAGGCGCTTTTGTGAAAAGGAGCATTACCTTACAGTAAGTCTCTCACATCTGTGTGAGTTTTAACTACCTTAAAACAGCTTTGGAGATTAAAGACTGAAATGAAACTCCCTAACTGTAGAGAGGGAAACTTCACAAACCTTCCTCACAGATCTCCCCTTTGTATCCAGGGACGCAGATGCAGACTCCCATGATACAGGTGCCATGGCCAAAGCAGGTCGGGTCGATACACTGTTCCTCAGGAACATCACACTCTGGTCCTTTCCACCCATTTCGACACACACAGTGACCTTTCTCATATTCTCCATTTCCACTACAGAGCACCGGGCAGGAATCTGAAGAAGGCAGATTGACCTTTTTAATATATTTACATTTTTACATAGATTAACATTTATTGCATTTGTCATTCTGTAAAATCACTTTTCCACTTCTGCTCTCCTAATCCTTCACTAGATGTGAGGACTGTGACAAAGAAGTAGTGCAGCAGTGATCCAGGCAGCCCAGTATCCTCAGCCTGCTTCACTACCATACTTAATTTTGACTTGAAATGGGACATCTTGGAAGATAAAAATCCCTCCCCTTGTTGGGTCTCTGCAGAAATTTTGCACAGTGATGCTTATCATTTTTTTAACATTAATATTTGTTCCCTGCGAAGCAAGACAGTGCCTTATTCTTTCTTCTAAGCAAACCTCTTACTACCTAAGTTTTTAGCCATTGCTGAGCTACAAGCACACCACTGATATGGAAGCTAAGTTTTACAATCCACTATCAATTTCTGACCCAATCAATTTCATAACACATAAAGTCAATCTAAAATTTGAGGAAACACAGGAAAAACATGAGAACCTGCAGACAGAATGGATGATGGACAATACAGAAATAAGATCACATGATCTCTTTAGCAAGTTTTTGCTCCACGTGCTGAAAAATCTCTGTATTGGTTTAGGATTTCTTTTCCACACCTATTCAAGTTAAGATCACGGAAGCATTCGACTGACATGTGAGATGTTCTCTAAAGTGAAAAAGTCACTTTTAAATAACTGTAAACGCCGTGTTCAGCTGATGCTCTCAATTAAAAAAAATAAAAAATCACAAAATGGGCGCAAAGAGTGATGGAGGAATCTGTTGTCTCTGCAAGTCATGGCGAGAAAAGTTGTTGAGGCATCTTAGCTAAAGTACAGCATAAAAAACTTTCTATGCCTGTGCTTGTGGTGCATTTGCCATCTGTCTGTAAAAAGGAATCAAATCTCATTTAATGGCTTTGAATCTTTGTAAGCTCAGCCGTCACACTCCATAATCACGATTCCTGTCCTGCACTGCAGGTTGGTTGATATGAGATTACCTTTTGCACAATCTGGACCAAGGAATCCTGGGAAACAGTGGCAGTGCCCCGAGATACATTCTCCATTCCCATTGCAATTAGTAGAGCAGTCATCCAGGACTTCTATTTATTCCGATTGTCATGCAGAAAGGAAAACACAAATTAGTTGAATTTGAAAAGCATGGCATCTTCACCCCACTCTGTGGGACACATCTCAACATACAAATAGGTGAGGAAGCAGTAAAAAGCCCATTTCCATTCACAGGAAGAATAAAACAAGATTCCTGTTCAAGCAGCTTACAAATATTAGATTTTGTCTTGACAGCTTTGAGATAATAAGTGCATCATTCATATTACACCAGAAAGCTTTTAAAGTAAGTGTTCATGTAAAATTTACCACCATTAAAAGCACTGCAAGAACCAAAGTATTTGTGGAGAAATGTTCACCTTAAACACTTTCTTTTACTGTTGAAGTAATTTGTTGGAAACTTGTCTATAGAGTGTAGCATCTACTATGGTGCTCACTCGAAGCATGTGAATTGCTTCACTTTTTGAAGGCGGGGTTTTCACTTTTATACAAGATGAAAAAACATCTTCCATAAAGCAATACAACTCAAGGCCTTTACAGGCCTAACAAGAAGATTTGAAGAAAAAAATCCACCTTTAGGTCTAATCTTAAACTACTGCATGCTTCATCATATAGCATTGGATAGGAAACCACTTAACCTCACACGTCTTGGGGCAGGCTTATGTCTGTACTTCTGTTAGCTGTCCTTAATCTACACATGTATTTCCTACAGGATTTCAGTGGATTCAATGACTTAGATGCATTTTATGTGAAAAATGTGAAACAAATGTAAGGCTAAGATGCTTCCAAGATGGGTCATAAGCATACACTACCATTAATATGAATAACTGAAGTAAGTTTATTTTGATCTTATTTATGGACACTTGGGCAGACAAGAATTGATTCCTCTGGAAATCTTGTACTGATACTGAAAAACATTAATTTCCTTCCAGGCTATCACTTTATACCAAAAAACGGGCATTTTCTATGTAACTGCTCTTCAGATATGCACAACCTAGACATAGATATTTGTTTCAAGGTCAAGAAATCAGCCTTATTTTTTTTTTCCTTTTTCTTTTTTTTTTTTTCCCAAAAAAACCCAAGTTTTTTGCAGATATACAGCTTGTTATTAATTTTTACATATTACTGTTCATTATCAACTCTGCTCCTTGCCTACTGAGAAGACAGAATCCCTAGAATCGCATGATGAAGGTCCCCTACACTGACTTGAAATGAAGAATCAGCTGTTCGAACAGTTAATTCCGTGGGACACAATGTCCAGTTTGGACTGGCCTTTATTCAGTCTATGGAAGTACTGGAGGCATGACAGATTTTGCAAGCAAATTACACACCATCCCACTCCCCTCTGAGGGGAACTCGGATCAGAGCTTTAGGTAAAGTGTCAGCAAAATCAATTTTGTACAACACTGACATCCAGCAACTGAAAAGACTTCCTAATGGATGCTCAAGAGGAGGCCAAGAGTGCCTCACGCAGCCAGCAGTGACATACAGCAGAGATGTGTGCCAGCTCTCATACTGACTGTTTCAGACTGCAGTCTTGGTTGATTCAGTTGTTGGTAGAGTGGTAAAATATGACTCTAGCCGTAGACACTCCCCAACGTCCGTGGTAAGGAGCACAGCTCAAGGATCAGAAGATGATTAGATTTTTTTTTGTGACTCCCTCTTCTCCACCCTCCACTCCCCCACCCCCCAAAAAAAACCCAACACAACAACCAAGAACCACTGTGCAAAGAAAAATATAAGAAGAAGATATACAGGCTGTGAAACCACAATAGCTAGCAGTATGATCAAATCCATCAGCAGTAGATTCTTGCAGCATGAAGCCTCATTTTCCCCCCAAGTTCTTTCTGCCCAATTTCTTCTCACAGCCATTTCTCAGGTTAGTGGACTCCTGTCCACCCCATGGCCCTCACTGTTCCCCTCCATAAGATTCAGCGTGTTCTGCTTATTGGCCAGAGAAGGGATAAGCAGCTTCTTCCTCACCAAATTTAATGGGAAATGAATTGCAGTATTCAATTGCATCTATCATTATTATTTTTTTGTGTGTGTGTGATTATATGCTACTCAGTGATGAAATACTGTTTAGACTCCCCTGTATAAACACTGCTGTGTTAAAGTAGAGATAAACAAGGGGGCAGACATTTGGATTCTGATCTGGACCAGAGTTTGGCCAGGTTTTATGCTCCTCATAGAGCATCTGTGAGCATGCTTCATAAATTGCTTGAGAATTATTTTCTCACATAACAGTGAACAATTATATTTCTCCCACCAGTAAAAGATTCACGCTTCTCCACAAAGCAAGTATGAACTTTTAAACATAAAAAACTCATTGTATTTCTATTTCAGTTTTAAAATAATTCCTGTAAGTCCTTCACCAGTCTTGGTGCTTGAATCATACTGTCCTGCTCCACAAGGTGTTTACCATCAAGTAAAAATAGCATCCAATTGTTCTGAAGAGCAGATGGCATGTCCATTACTAGTAAAGACATCTTGCTAAACATATGGCAGAACAGGTTAACTAAAGGGCAAAGTGGTTAAAGTCTTGCAGCAAAGCAAGGCACTCATAAATACAACACTTCACCTGAAATGAAATTCCAAACAAACCCTATGTGTGAGCACTGCTCTGCAACAACACTTAGAGTTGCAAACGTTTGTCCACCTTTATTTATTGAGGAGGCAACAGGGATTTCGTATCCCACCAGCACAGGGTCTCCTCTATTTGCCTTTGAGTTCCAAAGAAAATGGCGCAGTTGGATGATTGTATAAAACAACAGCAAACACCCATCAAACAGCAGCAATCAAATCCACAAAAGCATCCTTTTAGATTTTCTAACTGATTAAAATACTGAAAACATGAACATATAAGGTGTGGATAATTTCTGTATGATTTATGGTTCCTGTGTAAATAGATAGGGCAGACATATCCTCTTTCTGCTTTGAGCAAGATAACACCAGAAATTACTCAGCTATTTAAGCTATTAGATGAAAGTTTTAAAACACATGACAACTTCACACATAATTAGTTTAACATCCATCTTTAACACACAAATGTTTCTATTTGCCTAATATCAGCATAAATATGAAGTTACTCCACTGAGGTTAATTAAACAGAACTGAAATAAAACATTTTTAAGAGAATATTTAAGAGACGCTGGGATCAACGATCTACTTTCAAATGCAGCTTTCCAATGCAGTAATCACTGTAGCAATTTTACTGTAATTGTTCTTACCGATTGCCGTGGTCAGCACAAACACTTGCTCCACTTTCTTTCCATCATTGTAAAATGCCATATGCCAAGCACCTTGATCCATGTACTCAATGAAGCCTGTCTCTTGTAGTGAAGTTAAGATCAGATTCCTGGGAGCTTGCTGAGGCTCCTCTGAGTTTTTTGGTTCCTGCTTAATTAACTGCTTTCCATCCATCAATTTTACAAAATCAAACTGAAATAATAATGAGCAACAATTAACCACCTAGTAAATTTTTATGGAATCTGCTCTCCGTGTCTCATTCAAACAGCAACAAGCAGCTGAAATCTCGAGAGGAATGGCCTGTTTGACTAAATGTTCATCAGTGTGGACAGTAGTTGCATAACCTGGTCTGTTTAGCATCAGTTCTTCATTTCAGATACAAAGTATTATGGTAGATCAGAAATTTGGCACCAAAGCTTGCTGTCTGCTATAGGAGAGTAAATTCAGACTTGCTGCACTAAATGTAGCAAACTAACTTCAAATTACATCTCCTTCATGGGAATAATTCCAAAATTCCTAAGCTATAATGCTTAGGCATCTCAAATGCAAAAAACAGATAAAATGTGCTATTCTTCCATACAAAATTTTAAAATATCTCTTCCTATATATCAGTATCAAAAGCTATTTCTACTTTTTATTTATAATTAATTTGACTCATGGCAATAATTGACTATTTTGTGACATGGAAACAATATTGAATGGAGTTGATTCCAACAATTGATTTTCAGTAAAGTTCAAGTGCAGCTCAACTGAAGGCCCGCTTTTTATTAAAGGCAATGATAGCTAAAATCTCTCATTTTTAAGGTCTAACCTCCTGTAAATCGTTTTCGAGGTTAGACTACACAATCTCCACAGAATCACAGAATTGCATGACTTGGTAGGGACCTCTGAAGACCCCTCAGTCCAACTCCCTCTGCTAAAGCAGCTCCCTACAGCAGGTGGCACAGAAAAGCGTCCAGGCAGTTGAGATATCTCCCAAGGAGGAAACTCCACCACCTCTCTGGGCAGGCCATTCCAGTGCTCTGTCACCCTCACAGTAATGAAATTCTTCCTCTTGTTCTTGCAGAACTTCCTGTTGCATTGCCTCCTACAACTTCCTGTGTTCCAGATTTTGCCTACTGCTCCTTGTTCTATCATTTCCAAACAATCTGTGATTGTGCATCTGAGTTTATCACATATGGTGTAATCCTGCTATCAGACAGCAGAAAAGCCTATTATCATCCATTGAAATGAGAGCTTCATATGCCAAATGCATTAAGGAAAAAAACCCAATTGAATGTAACCAGCAATACTGCACATTCTTTTTGTGGAGATAGCCTTTCTCCTGCAAATCCCCTGCAAAAAATAATAGTTGTATCAGAAACTAGAATTATAAACAGCACTTTTTCTTCCCCCTATTTACACTGACTGTAGTCTGCTTGCTTTGATGAATACCTAGAAAGATTAAAGCATTTTCAAATGAACTGGGAACTGGTATTTCATGCCACTACCCTAAGAGAAGATGCTGGATCTACACACTGTGCACCTGTCCAGGCTCCCACAGTCATCTGGCAGTGGTCAGAATTGCTGATCTTGTTGATACAATGCTGCCTCTCCATCTGAGTGGGTGTATTTTCAGGGTTCAGCTACACCTCAGTAAAAGAATGAGATGAACAAAATGCTCTGTGTGGTTATGGTCAGTTCTTTCCTTCCTCCCTGCTTTGCAAGTGCATCAGGAACACTAGCAACCATTGCTCTTTGAAACTGTAATGCATGATACCATTGCTAGTAATTACCTGGGTGTGAGTAGGTGGAATGTTTCTTCTGCCATAAATTCCCAGCAGAGAATCCTTTGCCAGTGAAATGTTAAATTTCAGGTACACAGGGTGATGGATGGTGATCTGAAAGCGCCAGAATAAGCCGGGTGGGATTGTTTGCATAACTTGTGCTCCAATCTCAACTTCTCCTGTGTCTATGGCCCGTCCCTTCTGAAACACTGATTTTCCAGAAACAAAGAAAGCAATCAGTTACATATTCATAAGGGGGAGAAAATACCACATCAGATATAGTAAATAACGTCTACACTGAGGACATTTCTTTGAAATCACTGTATTTCTCATTCAGCCAGACGAAAAATAGAAATGAACTTGTGTGCAGAATTACCATGATGGGTGTCACAGCATGTTTTCACCTCGGAAATCCTGGAACACTTTACTGACTACAAAAAGGTACCGGTGGCTGCTGCAGGAACCACGGCCTTTGCGTCTGTCTATCAGCTGTGCAAACAGAACCCATTTGACAGAGCGTGGAGAGCACGCAGCAGGACAGCTTCCTCTGGCACGGCGCTCCAGCTACTGCCGGGTGGGCATTGCATAAGCTGCACAAATGGACACCGGCGAACAGAGAAAAGCCATCAAACTGCTAGGTTAGAGCCCAAGCCCGGATTTCTGTTAAGCACCATTCCAGTGATAACCTAGGCCTAGAGAAATAAGGAACAGCTGTTTTTGCTTGGATTTTCTGCACAAAAGCATAGCAGGGGCATAAAGACGGGGACAGGCAATTTAAAGGGAAAACTGGCATCATTTTGTAGAGCCTAACAATAAATCTGCAGACATCTACACTATGCAACTTCACATGTGGGTATGAGAGAGCTGAAATAGAAAGGGAAATGAAATGCATAAGGAAGCCACTGCCAAACTAAAACAGAGCTCACTTGCTTTGCTGGTGTGTATCATCATCTTTGTCTATTTTAGTGCCTGCCTGTGATCAGCATCCTGACATGCTGCAAGCTACACCAGTCCTGCTAACATCTGAGCTAACTCCTGCTAACATCTGAGCTAACTCCTGCTAACATCTGAGCTAACTCCTGCTAGCATCTGAGCTAACTCTACTGAAAGTTTTGCAAAACTCTAAAGCTCATTTGTAAGCTTTCTCTCAAGTAGAAAAAAAAAAGGACAGCATGCTACAATGGAGAGTGAACCAAGAGATCAAATTCAGCAGCCATATCTATTTCTGTGTCATTTCCACATGATTCCAACACTGTGGTGATGGATAAAGAGAAGCAATCAATGTGACTGGAGATTCATTTTTTTTACAATAATGCACAGAAATATAGAATGCAAAATAATGTACATGAAATGATATAAATTGTCCTTGGAAACAAACACAGCAGTAGTGAAGCTAGGGCCAGATTTTTCCTAAACATATTAATAACAAAGATCCTCGGTGGGATCTTCCAATGGATTTAACTTGTGTAGGAAGTACTTAGCATTCTTAATGAATAGAGATTTAATTTACAAGGCAGGAGCAATCCTCAGGGTACTGGATCTTCCAGTTTATGGCTGCTTTGTGTCATGGGAAACAAAAGCACAGCAAGAACGAGGAGCTGACTTTTAACACCTTACTATATAAAAGCATGAATTTTTGAAGCACAGAAATTGTTTGCTAGTACTCTAAAAATATATCTGTTCCTTAATTAACAAGCTAAAAAATTCCCAAATCACTGCTTTAGCAATGTTCAAGGTGAGAATTTTTTTTTTTTCACCTCCTTAGTGAAAAAAGTTGTGTGTGTTGAGTTTTGAGAGGAGATTTAAATGTCTGGTGTAGCTGGGCAAAGAAAGCGAGTCCCTCCCACTCCAGCCCATACATTAGATCCCACTCAGCTGATGTAAATTTAAAAACCTTTTCCCCCATTTCCAGTACTCCAGAGATATTAAATCTTAATGATTCTTTGCAAGCAATTACCCTGGGTTAAGTAAAACACTAAGGAACTTTTTGGTGATATTGACACATGGTAATTAACGTGATTCAATTACAAGATGGTGGAGCACTAAGTAAAAAGTCAAGGATACGGTATCATTTTTGAAGTTAATGGCATTATTGGTCCATGTTCAAGGTCTTTTAAAATACAGTAACTGCCTTTGAGTTTGTTGAAGTGAGGCAGCCTACTTCGTCGTTGAAAATGAAACGCAAAAGGCCTTTACGTAGGGCACAGGCACTCTTTGAGAAAGTATTTTCACTAATTGGTGTTATCAAATTATGCTGAATAGCAGTGAGTGTTGCTAGGCTCAAAGCAACACTTCTCTGAAAAGTCATTCCACGTTCAGATGAAAATGTTGTTTCAGTAACGATTTCATATAATTACAAAAACCCCACACATGTACTTGGATTTACTGCTATTTCTCTGAAAGAAGTGCATGCTGTTGTTGACAATGCTAAAATGAAAAAATCCACGTTATCTTCCACCTACTGAAAGCAGTACCAGCAGCACCCCTACCTTTCCAACACTATTTCTTCAGATAACCACGCAGCATGAGAAGGCGACTGTAAGCACCACATCTGAAATGCATTTTCATATTCACCGAGCCACTGTGCTCTCCTCTATTGAAAAAACAATTTAGCTCTGTTTTTGTGCTTAACTGAATGAAACAGGTATTTGGCCAAACAAATAAGGCAATGAAGATATTCACAGACTATCCTCAAATTCTTTCTTACACTTTCTTGTGAAGTCGTAGGTAAGCTATTAAAATTACAGTGTTGCAATACAATTTCTACACTTGTTCTGAAAGCTTCTTTCTCATACCATTTTCCCCACGACAAAATATCATTCAATTACCTATGTTCAATTCCTAGTACTGCTCCCAGTCTTACAAACTGGTACTAATTCTTCCCCATTCTTCCTAAGCACACTTTTCTCCACAATTCTAAAACAGAAGATAGACTCCTAATCACAGGTTTCTTTTGGCTTCAAGAAAGTAAAGCTCTAAACAGCATGGTGCCAATTATCTTCACAAGAAAGAACCCATATGCTGATTATTACTGATCCTGAAACAATCAATCTCCTTGTACTCTCCTGGTAAATATCAGCATTGATAGGACGCCTGAGATTTTAATCACATTGCTACATATTAAAATGTTAACTCGTAGCCATGGGTCACTGTGTTACAAAATGACTTCTTAAAGAAATCTGACTTGCTGGTTTGTAAATTTGATTTTCATTAGAAAATTAGTTAAATATATGCTTTCAAGGTCTGGTACAGCATCTCGTGCTGTTGCACAGAGTTGGGAAAATAGGGGGTCACAACATCTGATAATATTTATTTATCCTTGTGAAATCACATTAGAGGCTTCAAGGCAAAGTATCAACTTTCTATGGTACACTGTTGAAGTGAGGGCAGTTCCATGTTTCTAGTCCTCCTTTCAAGACATCAGTGTAGAGTATTTGGCACAAGTATTGAGTATGAAATTACTGATACATATTAAAGATGATGGAAAGAGAGAACGATAAGAAGGGAGGAAGGGAGGAAGGGAGGAAGGGAGGAAGGGAGGAAAGGAGAAGGAAACTATCAGAAAGCTGCCAGAGATAGATTATGCACGTCTCAATGCTATGCACTGAGTCCACATTGCTATTTTTGTTTCCTCAAGCGTATAGCCTGGATTGTAGGTTTCCCAAGAGGTGAAAGACAACAAGATGGACAACAGTCTACCTATGTTCAAGACTGACCCCGTAAACTACCAGATAAGCCCTTGGAGAAGTGGCTCTGGTGTTACAGCTCTCCACACTTCAGTGTTCTCTGAGAATTGTGGCATTAGGATCACTTGAGACAAGGGGCTGTTATTTGTTTATTTAAACTACTACGTTTTGTTCCCTATTGACTCATTTGAGTCTCCTCTATTATCAAATATCTAATTTCTAGGATCATGCTTTGATGTTTTTCCTATATCTTCTCCTCTGGAAGCCAAACACTTTGGATGGGTTTTTATTAAATCTGCAATATATTGGCAAAGTGATTTAATGCACTTTAGAAGAACTATTTGAGACATCTTAGACATTTTCCATGGTGCACCAGGAAAAAATACAAAAGTGTATAGAACGTTTACTGTAATTCACTGTCAATCCATTCTAAGAGAAGAAATAATGGATAACAATATTATTGCGCCCTCATATATATTTCTGCTGCTCATTTATCTACCACGATCTCTATCCAGCTGTGCCACATTGATTTGTAAGACTACTGATGTGAGATGCAATCTTCCTTCTGGACAGAATGGTACAAACCCTGCCCCACCTTGTCTCATATTTAGAATCATTTATCTAACCTTGCAGACACAGAATCAAATCATTGCTCCGCTATAAATGCTGGAAATTCTGGAAATCTCCCACACTGCAGAACTCTCAGTACAGTTTTACTTTCCTTCTAACAACTGAAAGACTAGGGTTAATCTTCTATTTCTATTCATTTTTCTCTGATATAATCCATCTGATTTAACAACTTTTTCTGAGTATTTTAAAAAGCAATGAGAGCAATATCTGCTTCTTAGAGTCAGAAAACATCATCTTACTGTATTATGTAGTGGTCAATGGAAAATATGGGTCAGGGTTTCTAGCTAATACTGGGGTAGGTGAGCTAACAACACTGAATTAGAGACTTGAGAAAAAGGAATGATGCAACCTCTCAACAGCTCTGCTCTATTTTACATTGCTGGCTGCACAGTCAACCCCTTCCCCGTGCCAGCTCTGGCACTTCTCTGCCCCTTCAGAACAGCTGGTTCAGCCTCTAAAATGGCTATACAAGACTATTCGCCATACCACCAAAGCTATTTTCTGCCAACACAGTATGCTGAGATGCATCACTCATGCCCAAGACAATTACTGCAGTAGGCATGGGGCTGCAGAGAGCAGTGCTGTGGGTCCATCTCCCCGCTGCCAAATTGGCTCGGGCATTTTGTGAAACCCCAGGAGGTTCCTGCATGCTGATTCAGTATGACTGGTTAAGGCAGGATGTGGCAGGATGTGACAGGATGCTGTATTTTAGTTTATGCCTTCAAGAACCGGATGCCTCTAAAAGCATTAGGATTCCTGCCCTTCTGCAAATTCTGAACTGTCAGCACAAAGATTTTCGCGTGGCTCAGACTGGCTTTGGTCTTCAAGACATGGGCACGGCAACGAGCCCTCAGCACAGTGAGGGGATGTGGCAAATGTACTCTCACCTTCCCTCTCTAACAACAGAAGCCAGGCCCTCTAACCTCTCACAAAAGAAAGACAATTACTTTGCTATTCAACATTACCTCCTTAATGACTTGGGTCAGCTGCTAATTTCAGTGAGAGTTCTGATAAAGCAAACAATCAGGGTGTGGGATTCTGACATCTGTTTTAAAATTGTTCCAGAGAAGCTAGAACCGGACTTCAAAACATTGCCAAATTGCAGAAAATATGGAACCTGAAGCATAGAAATATTTAAAAATTCCTCACCTGTCTGTCTGCACCTTCGCACATACCTTTTTTTTCTGTTTTATCAGAAACTTTTCCTCCGATCGGTGAGAAAGTAGTATCCGTGGATTCTGCTCCCTTATTTCCTTTGCTAACTCCATTTTCATACAGCTGCCCTTCAACAGGCTGTAGCTGCCAGGTTAAACCGAACAAGTGTACTGCTGCAAAAAAAATGAAGACCAATTAATTGATGTCTAAGCTACAGCACCTTCAGTCACATAAAGAAAGAATGCTATGACCCAGTTTCTGCAAAGTCAAGTATTATTTAGTTCTGTTAGCAGTAAATCAGAATTTCGAGGGTTCTAATGAGCAATTTACTACTTTACCTTAAAACTCAACGTTTAATTAGTTTCCACACTTTCTTTTGGAGATCAGCCAGGTCAAGGTGATGAATTTCTACAGCAATTAATGGAAGGAAATACTTGCAATTAAAAGGATAACAGTTGAATGCCTTAAATATTGTGTGACAGATTCTAATGCTTCTTCAGTGCTGTCCCACTGCCTTCAGATGTCACAGTTTGTTGGATTAAAGCACAGCCACCAAGTCAAACTTTCCAACCCATCTCTAACTGAAACTTGTGCCCACCATATTCTCAGACCTTTTTAATTAGATCAGTTTAAGCACTAGTAAAATAGCTGACTTCATCAATTTGCCCTAGAATTATACTGCAGATAAAATAAGCCAGGCTTTGGATAAAAAATATATACAATGTTATGTTGTAACACATTAATGGAAATATGCTTTTATTTATGTACGCACTGGGAAATCTATAATTCTTTTATGAATTTATCTCCATTCATAGCGTCTGCTTACTCCTTTTTGGCAACAAAGTCATTCATTTTTTTTCTGCTTTCTTCTCTGTTCTTTCTAATTTTAGGTACAGAAGAATGGTAGGTGAATTAAAGAAAACACACAACAAGAGAGGACCTTATTTTAAGCATACTATGATAGTAATGCAGTCATTTGAGACAATTACCTTGGTCTTACTGAGACAGGCAAATTCTTCCAAAGAAGACATTGCCTTAGCATTGAAGTTACTCAGCAGGGAGCACTGATGACCCACTAAAATATGGATTGAAGATACCCCCCACAGAGGAGCTGAAATCATCACAAAAGGAGCAAAACTTGAGAAACAGGTCCTTTAGCCACATGCAGCATTTTGCACTAAGTTCTGCCCACAGTGGGTGCCTAAAAAGGCACCATATCTTCCTTTCCTGAATTAGTTAGGAACCTCAGAGGCTCTCAAGAGAATTGAGGAGGTTCTAGAATGAGGCCTTGCTTTTGGAAAATACATCGTTTTCTCTGTATTGGATATGTTTTAAGAGAAAAAGAAATCTCACTATAGGAAACTTATCTATTTTCTACACATTTGCTCACGTCTCCCTTGCCTACTTCAAAGTTAGACTACACAGCAAAAACCCCATGCCTTCAATGAGTTCCTGGCAAGGGTTTGCCAAAACTACAACAGGAAAGCAGAAGTGTCAGTCTACAATCATTAATTTCAGATCTGTGTGCTCAGGGATCACCCAGCACAGATACATGATTTGAATTAAGCAAATGACAGCACTTCTATCAAATCAAGGAGGTGACACAGCCGAAGTACAAGCAATGTTTATATTTTATGTTGGCTTCAAGTTGAGTGACCCAATTCTCACTGAATTCCAAAACCGCTGCACTAGCACCAAGTCTGGGCTCTGAAAACACAGCTGAAAATTCCCACTCTCCAGAAGAAGCGCTGGAGGCTTTCCCCACTGTGCTAGTGGAGACATCTCCAACCTGAGACCTGCTGGACTGCTTCATATTGCATGGATTTGAAACTACCAAGGTACTGTGCTTTCACTTTGAAAAGGGTCTTGCAGTCAGATCACATAGACCTAAGCTCTGATCCTTCAGCTTATTAATGCAAGACAGATTACTTCTACTTACAGAAGGTACAATAAAAATCAGTGTGCCTTGATATCTCCAGAGCACTGGCTCCTGGCTTGAGCTTCAGGGCATTATTATGATTTAAAGAGTTAATAACAAGAGAAAGGAACAAAGTGCAATGGGACTGGTAACTAATGCATGTACATTTCTTTATCCTAATGAAAATAATTATATGAGCACTTGAAACAGATCAACACCAGATGCAAAACATAACTGCATACATCAATAAGTTTTTAGTGGCTATACAATCATGAACATAGCCTAGTTGCTTTCTTATGCTATTTCCATTGTTGCTATTATTCATTTCCTAAGACAGTATTTGCATGTGCTGCAGAGGGTACATCACTGAAGCAAGTACTGAATATGTAATACATATTTTTCCTTACTGTATATCTTTTCCAGATAACACACACTATGCATTCATTTTGTCATCCATTTGCACCAATTCAAAGAGTTTGCTTGCTCAGTCTTCCCTTCAGGCTGGGAAGTGCTGTTGTTTTTATAGTTTGTGCCAAAGCTTGGCAAGCTAGCAAAACTGTTTGTATGCATGTTTGACAGTCTGTTTCCTTCCTGAGAAACGCCAACTGCATTGTAGAGATGATGGTCTCTGCCAGCATCGGACTCTTGAATTCTACTCTGTGGGAGATCACATGTGATGCTGGTAGTGCAACTTCATGTTAAAGAACATTCCAGTCTAAACATTTGAACTGCTATGAAAATAAGATCCACCTGAATTAAACTAAATGATTGTCACTGCAGAAAATTGCTCATCTTGCAATCTTTAAGTAAACCTGAGTTTCATTACATCAGCTATCAAGTTGGTATGTATACAAACTACTGCTCTTGTCAGATTACCTTTGGATTCCAGCATGACTCTAGCAACAAACAGACCACATACCACAGAGAGGCACTCATTCTTAGGGTCACTTTGTTCAGAAGCTAACTGCAGGGACTTAGCAGACACAGAGCTTTGTCTTCCCTTTATCTTTGCTGTGATACTTTTATGTAAATGTAATTTATACAAAACCTCTGTTTCCTGCAACATATGTGCATCATATTAAAAATACGCAGGTATTTTACCAAATAAGATTAAGTAACATTTTCAAATCTTTCTCACAAATCTCTTCAGAAGTAGGCATATACAGAATTCCATTAAAACACTCAAACTTTTCTTTTGAGTCATTCTCTCTGATTTTTCCAGCAGATCTCTTGCTTTTACTGTTTCTGCTTTACAAGGAGAAGCACAGACAGTGATATGGAATTGAACAGTGGGACAGAACATTATTTCCACAGTGAAAATCCATCTGTAAGATGCTCAGCTGTAGGACCCATGTGCAGTACACAAGTATAAGGGTTCACTCCACAGACCAAGCATCTGTCCAGTGCAGGATTGGGCTGAGTAGAGCAGGGATGTTTGTCTTCTGATGAAGATATCTGCTCTGTCCTCAAGATTTAGTCTTCCAGACTGATGTTTATTTAAACAAGCCATAACTACAGCATTTTTGAGGGTGTGTTCTGACTAAGCATCGAAAACCATCATTAGAACTAAAGATGCATTAGTTTACATAAGTCAAGCTCCTTAAATATACAGCCCTGAAGGTATGATGACTACATTGATACTATACGAAACACAAAAATAACTTTGGCTCTGGCCACTTAGCATTTCAGAAAAATTCCACCATCAGATACCCTGTATTTTGCATCACTTAGAATACCTCAGTTACCAGTGGGGTGCCTAAGGCCATTGGTGGATGCTACAGTTTCAAGCAAAACCAAAGACTATGAGGTAAGTGGATGTTACTGTCATGGTTTCATTACAGCTTCTTAGGAGCCTCAGTATTCTTCACAGCTACAACAATCCTTCTTAAAGCTACCAAGGATTGCAGTGAGTCACTGGGAGAATCAATCCAAGATGTCCCCTCACTGGGGTCTAAACTAAGCCTCTTGTCCAAAAACAGTGCCAGACTGTCACTGCTGGCAGCAACCACGCTTCTCTACCTGGCATTCTTCAACATCCAGCTTGCTTTCTGTCTCCTAGATTCTTCCATCTCACTTCAAATCTCATCTGAAAAGACATTCTTTTTTGGGTTGCTTGAACTTCCAGTATATTCACTCCTCTAACATGACACTATCACTTGACGCTATGTAATTTATGAGCTCCATTCTGCCACAAGCAAAGTCGTACGTTGCTCTCACTGAGGTGACTTGGAGGGAGGCAAATATAAATGAAGGCAAATTCTGACTCTCTTTACATAATGTTTGGAGATAGAGCTTATGCAATGGATGCCAGCATACCTGTATTTTATTGAACAGTCCTGTTTAATTCAAAGTTTGAGATAAAATTGCAGTATAACAGAGGAAGTGTGTCTTTTTGTTTACAACATACATTATGGATGGCAGTCCAGATGCTAAATTTAGAGGCTTCTCTGTTCAATGAAGTTGAAGAGAAGAGAGGATACCACGCGAACATGGTGAAACTAAGCTTCTTCCTCAGGCACCCAGCCCTGGCTGGACCGCATGGCAGAGCTGCTCAGGGGCATTTAAGTGACCTGTCCTGAATACAGAGGATTCTACCTGCAGTGCGGAGCTTTTCTTGACTAATTTATTGTGCTTCTTCGCTAAAAAGTAATTTTTAGATATAAAATAGATCTCTTGCAAGAAGAAGATAAATTAAAGACCTATACCTTCTAACCTACCTATAATTTTCCTTCCTAGAACAAGGACACAAAAGGATAATATAGCTGTATGCCATCTAAGGAATTTTCTCTATCTAGAGGCAGATCTCTGGTTACTTAATTGCTTAAAAAGAGCTGAACTGGGCCAAAACTGTGGCACAGACATATATATATATTCTAAACTGTTATTTAATGAATTCAAATAGAATTGCTCAGGTTGGAAAAGACCTTAAAGATCATCGACTCCAACCACAATCTAACCATGCTACCCTAACTCTAACAACCCTCTGACAGATCATGTCCCCGTGCACCACATACAAACAGTTGTTAAACACATCCAGGGATGGTGACTCAACCACCTTCGTGGGGAGCCCATTGCAGTGCTTAACAACTCTTTCTGTAAAGAAGTTTTTCCTGATATCCAACCTAAACCTCTCCTGGCTCAACTTGAGGCCATTTCCCCTCGTCCTGTCACCAGTGAGAACAACCCCACTCTTGCTGTAAACACCTTTCAAGTACTGGAAGAGAGCAGTAAGGTCTCCCCTCAGTCTCCTCTTCC